GGTGTTATGCAAATCTTCCCACACAGTGACGTAGACATGTGGGGGCGTGTTTAAACGAGGCATTTTAGGAGGGCGTAGACGAGTCTTAACATTCATAAAGAATAGCTCTTTGGGTCTGTGACTTTAGTCTTTGCAACTTTAGGGAGCTTAGCTAGCAACTTTAGGGATCTTATCTATTCATGAACAGCTTGTAACACACCAAAGAGAAAGGAAAACTTGAAATCGCATCATATGACCCCTTTAAAATTATAATATATTCCTGTGATGGAAAAGCTGAATTTTGAGCAGTCATTACTCCAGTCTTCAGTGTCACATGGTCCTTCAGGAATCAGTTACAATGATTTTCTGGTCAAGAAACATTTCCTATTGTTGTCAATGTTAAAAACAGTTATGCTGTTTAATATTTTTGTGGAAACAAACTATGGTACTTTTTCTCAGGATTCTTCAAGAAATACAAAAATTCAGCATTTATTTGAAATAGAAATCTTTTGTAACTTTGCTTAATGCTTCCTTGCAGACTAAAAGTATCAAAGTAATTACACATTATTGTATAAATCAAAGATCAATATGTAGCCAATCGATTAATTTCTAGCCAAAAATTTGTATTAATTTCCATGAAACTTCCTGGCGACTGTAAAATTCCCTTCATTTGAATGCCTGGTTATTTTACAGAGACGCCTGAGACACTCGTGTGACTTTACATCCTCTCCATTACCTTTCTCTGCATTGTTTTCCAGTACAGCAATCTTGTAGATGTTGAACTGTGTGAAAATGTTGCTTGGATCAATCCTTGCTGACTTTTCTACAGCCTCTTTGGCCTTCAACAAGAATTGAACAATGTGGCAACTTTCACAACAGACATGTATGTATGAAAACTTGTGTCCACGTAATGAGATGTTACCTTCTCAAGTTGATTCAGGTGCAGGAAACAGGTGGATCGGTTTCTTTGCAGTTTAGCAAGGTTTTGATCCAACTCGCCGGCTCTGTAGAAGCTCAGTGAGTAGTTATACCACTCCAGAGCTTCAGAATAGTTCTTGGCCTGTGCAAGACAACAAACATGACAGCTGTCTCACTGAACTCAAACTAACAAGCTCTACTTGATTCATGCTGCAACTATACAGTACTATTTAAAGAAAAACATACCCACACAAAATCACACAGGGAAATCTCTTTATACACACTACTGGTCAAAAGTTTTTGCGGGGAGGGAGTATTATTTTTCTTTTTAAAGAAATTTATATTTTTATTCAGCAAGGATGCATTAAACTGACTAAAAAGTGACAGCAAAGATATATTGTTGCAAAATATTTCTGTTTCCAAAAAATGCTGTTCTTTTTAACTTCCTATCAAAGAATCCTGAGAAAAAAATGTATCATGGCTTCCACAAACATACTAAGTAACTCAACAGTTTTTAACTTTGATTATAATAAGACATGTTTCTTGAGCAGCAAATAAGCAAATTTGAATAATTTCTGACGGATCATGTGACACTGAAGAATGGAGTAAATATCAGTAAATAAATATTTCAAAATATCACTGTTTTAACCATATTTTTGATCAAACAAATGCAGCCTTGGTGAAAATAAGACCCCAAACTTTTGAGGTAGAGTATGATCAAATGTTTTCAATGGAGGTAATAGTACTCTTATTTGTAATTGAATGACTATTCAATCCAAAGTATTTATTGCATTTCTAAAAATGGTTTTAAAATATATTTTAAACACATAAAACTGATGTAGTACTTCAAAGTTTTTGGAAGCTCTATCCCACAGAAGAAGGTGGAGAGATGATAGAGTCTGAGGTGCTAGTTGTTTTCCAGTGTAATGTCCTAGAAAACAATTATTAAACACACAATTCAGTAATGACATGAAACACATTCTTGGTTACTAACAGTGAATGAAAATTACCCGTGATAGCATCCTCAATCTTCTGCTTGGCCAGCAGCTCTTTGTCCCGCTGCAGCAGCAGCTCTATATGCATGAGCAGAGCGGAGCCCAGTTCAGGAGACGACTCAAAGTGCTGACACACCCTCTTCAGGAAGTAAAAGGCCAGAGCCTCCCTGAAACAACAACATGTCAGTGTTTCTGTCATACCTGGCCTTTTCAACCACAGATTTCAAGAAGATGATTTTTGTGCCTATTTAGAGAGATGAGAGATCATACCTGTTATTTTCCACGAGCAGTTTTACTGTGCTCAAGCACACTTCCAGAGGAACCTCACAGTCCAGTAGCTCTGACAGCCCTGACGTGGGAAGGAACATGTTAAGAAGGGACACATTTGTGGGGTAGAAGACATACTATCCACAAACTGCAATTTCAGCAGAGATACCAGGCTCACCAGACTTTATTGCCTCATCTGGGCTGCGGCTTTTATTTAGGATTTGAATCTTCAGATACAGGCCTGACAACTGCATATGCTCCTGAAAAGAAAACAATGAAATGGCCAAATGTAAAAAAAAAAAAAAAAAAAGCTTAGTGTGTGTGCTACAGTCCAATCTGATGGTCTGCTTTGTCAAGATCTGGTTGCACTAGGAACACTTTACCTTATTAGCCAAGCTCACAGCATGAAGAGCTTTCTCCAGGTACTTCTGACAGTCCCAGTCCAAATAAACCTTTGCAAGAAGTCTCAAAACTTTGGCCTGGAGGAATGGGAAGTAAGATTACAATGCATTCAGGTAATGCAAAAAAGTCCGAGACCGCACTGAAGATCTGGGATTCAATTTAGACATGGAAATAAACAGAGTTTGGACATTAAATGTGATTGTTTGTGAATGAACATTACTTTTTAACTCCATATATTATCCTGATTAGATAATTTGATACATTTATATAAATGACAATAATTTATAATGATCAAAAATTTTCATTCGTGGTCACATTTTTGATCCCACTGTATATCTAGCTGTTAATTTCAGTGTTGACTAATATTTCTTACTTGCATCTCTGATCCTGGTGAGTACTTCACATTCATCTTGCCTATATCAAAACTTTGGCTGAAATGCAGAAAAAGTTTATATATAAGGAAAAGTGTAAATACTTAAATTATAGTATTACCAATTATATTGTAGTAACAAAAGTTAAATGAAAATTTTAAATATATTAAAAAACAAAACAGTTGTATATACAATATATATTACAGATATCCCTACCTTAGCCAAAATGTGCTCTCTTCATGCTTTCCCTGACTGTAAGTGTCAACCCCAAAGTTGTAACAGATGAGAGAGAGATAGCCAGTCTAAAGGAAATTTCACAAAAGTGTTTTTATTTTATTTTTTAATAGTTTGTATTTTCTAAATCTCTCTCTCAAATCAAAATAATCAATGACACCACTTGACAAAATGATGACAACAGTTTGTCCACCTCTTTAGGTAGACGCAGAAGCATTTCTTTACATCGCTGTATGCATGACACTGCCTCTTGATGTTGTTCTTGAGAAACTGCCTATTGAGACAACAGAAATTAATTTCTTTCTGAAAAAAAAAACAAAAC